CACACACACACACACACACACACTCAAATATATAGGATTGTGCACATCTATCCTTATGAGGACCATTGATCACTAAAAGGTTCCAACTTTTACCCTGAATTCAAGTTAAACTACCAAACTTTACTTTGTAAAAACAATGAAGATTGGACCAGTTGACCATCACTTTCCGAAATGTAAGTAAAATCTGTGTTTTAGATTAGAGTTGAAAACACACGTTTTGTATTTAGATTCAGTGCGTCCAGGCAGCCGCCCCCTAAAAGCTGAAATCCAATGAACATGATTTATTTCGCAGTCTCTCGTTGTGAGTGCCGTCTCTCTCAAAGTACCTCGAGAATATTAAAATCCCTGGTCGCCACGCATTGCTACTTCCCAGCAGCTAACCCACTCTCTTCCTGATTCACAATAACCCTTATCAGCCCAATTTCCCTTCTCTCTTTCCTTGCCCATTTTAACACGATGCCCTGTTTGTTGTTTAAATGGAAGGGAGAGAAAATTGGCCACTTTTGCCGTTCAGAAACTCCCGCAGCTGTCGGTAATCGCTGCGTGTGTGGATGTGTGTGCGCGTGCCGCGGTAATGTGCAGTTACCACAGTAGGGGTGCGTGGGGCGGGGGCTTAGAGAGAGGGGTCATGGCGTGCGCCGGAGAAAGCGCTATTAGGAGAAAATGATAGGCCTGTCCCTGAAACTCCATTATACACCAAACACTTGAAAGACTGGACCGGCTTCATTACAGGGCAACATGAATCATGCAGCACTCACACTAGCAACTGGCCTCTGTCTCTCTGTGTCTCTGTATCCCACTCTCTTCCCAGCACAGCCTTCTGTTTAAACTGGAGGATCGCCAGGAAAGAGTGAGGGAGCTAGGGAGGGAGGGAGCAGAGTAAAGAGGAGCATAATAGGCTTCAGCTCTGCCTAAGTTTGCCTAAGGTCTGACAAACAGGTGGAGAGGAGAGGAGTAGAGAAGAGAAGAGAGTAAAAGAGAGGAGAGGAGAAAGGAGTAAAGGAGAGAGGAGGAGAGGGGAAAGATTTGTGGGGAGGAAATAGGAGAGAGAATAGAGGGAAGGAGAGAGGAGGATAGATAGAGATACCAAGAGAGAAAATAAGAGGAAGAGAGGAAATAAGAGAAGGGTAGGCGATAGGAAGAGAGGATAGGAAGGAGGAGAGGAGAGAGTGACTTGCTGGGGCATGCTGTAGTCTGTGTGACGGGAAGGATGGAAGTGTGACTTCAAGTGATTTGTGTGAACATGTGTGTGTGCGCACGCTCTTACACTTGCCTGCTTCTCTGTCTCTGACCGTCTGTGTGACTGTACACACTTGTGTAAAGACAGCCTGTGAGCGTTTGTGTATGTCGGTAATGAGCATTTGTGAAGTGCTAGTGTGTGAAGTGTGCACGTGTCCCTGTATGTGCGCGGGCGTAGGGAGCATGTGTTTTTATTTGTGTGTGTGTGTGTGTGAAGCAACCATTTGTTGTTTTTTTTGTGTGCGTGTATCTGTGTGTGCACTCCAGAGCGTGTCGCAGCATGTTGCCAGAGGGACGGGGCAGCCAGCCAGACCCTGGGCACAGCATGACACTGCGGCCCCGATCTGTGTTGTGAGTGCCTCAATTACCCATCAGCCTGATAGAGAGAGAGAGAGAGAGAGAGAGAGAGAGAGAGAGAGAGA